AAGATATTTAAAATATAGCTAAGTGATTGTGTTGTAGAGATAAAAAAAAACACACAGCAATACGACAAATGAAAAACCAATCAGCTATATGCAGAGTCCTAGTGATAGCAACTCCTTGGTAGCCAAAGAATGTTGTATCTCAGACAAATTACCTGAAAGTGAAATGATACATTCTCATTCTAAAAGTGACAGCAGTGATGAGGAAATAATTGTGAAGAGTTAGTTAAAATGGTTACAGGAAATGTATAAATGAGGTAAGCCCCAGGAATTGAATGTACATGTAATGAAATTATAATTTAAATGTTGTGAACAGACATCAGTATTTTATCAGCACCACCAAAAATAATTAGACTTTAAATTATAGGACATAATTTAAAAATTAATAATTAGATACATTTATTGGTAACCTAATTATATATTTATTTACTTAGAAAAATATTTCTGATGCTTTCTTGGGCAGATAGGAGATCCTTATACTTAGGATTGTTTTATGTTTCAACATATCTATGTATTTGTTCTATGTCATCAAAAATTCTAAGAACTTTGGAGGCAGAGAGAATGGTATTTTTTGTACTCAGTTGTCTTTCCAGTGACTACATAGTGCTCTGAATGTAAGAACTCAGTTAGCTGGGTGCTGGTGCTCATACCTGTAATCCTAGCTAGTTGGGAGGCTGAGATAGGAAGGATCGTGGTTCAGGGCTAGCCCAGGTCAATAGTTCAAGAGACTTCATCTCCAAAACCAGAGCAAAATGGACTGGAGGCCTGGTTCAAGTGAGAGAATGCCTGCTTTGTAAGTCCTAAAATCCTGAGTCCTACTGCAAAAACGAAACAAACAAAAAAACAAAAAAATCCTCAGCATGGATTCTTAGGAATGTACTTTTCCAAGACTGTTTTAGTACAGTTTGTGCTGCTAAACAAAATACAGTAGTTTCCCATAATTTGGCTTTATGAAGTTTCCATTGTCTGTGGTGAATTATGTAAAAAATATTGACTGGAAAATCCCAGAAACAATTTGTAAGTTTTAAATTGTGCACCATCACTTGAACAGAGTGATGAAATCTTGCAGCATCTCTCTTGGGGTGTGACTCATTCTTTGTCCAGCATGCCCACACTGTGTGTACTACCTGCCCATTAATAACTTAGTCAGCCTCACTTATCAGATCGTATCATGGGATTACAGTGCTTGTATTCAAGTAATCTTTATTTTCCTTAATAATGGTCTCAAAGCACAAGAGCATGTGTAGGAAACAACATAGTATATACACAGGGCTTGGTATTATATGTGATTTCAACTTCTACCAGAGGTCCTGTAATGTACCCCTTCCCCTACACCCCTTGGATAAGGAAGACTGGGAGGTTCATAATGAACAGAAATTTGTTGCCTCAAGGCTTTGGAGGATGGGAAGCACTGAGGAGGCTGCCTGTGGCAAGAACCATTTTACTCTCATCCATGACATGAGAGGGATCATGGGTCCTAGAGTTCTGGGGGGAAGACAAACAGACTGAACTTGATTTTCATAATGAACTCATTTCCATGATAAAAGGATTAACCCCTACATGAGGGTCTAATCACCTCTTCTTACTCTCTATTTCCCCACTCTGTTGCACTGGGGATTAAGTTTGAAACACACCCCTTTGTGGGGTACACATTCAAACCATAACAATGTCATAACTCAAGTGTACTTCTTGAAGACTTTCCCAATGTCTTCTTTCTCCTTTGCAGGAATTGACTCCTTCCTTTGTTCTTGCCCAGCATCTCTGACCTGTCCTATGCTTATTAGTAGATCCATCTGTGCTTGTGTTCTGCATTGTAACTGCCTGAGGGCAGAAACCAGGCCTGATTTGCTCTTTAGAACCTTGAATGGTACTTGATTCATAGCTGCTAAAAATGTTTATTGGAATGAAGCATTTGTGAGTTCAAATGACTGCACAGTGTAGGGTAAATTTCATTATCCCAGTTTGCTCAGGAACCAGGAAGATTTAGGTAAAAAATTTTAAGATATTCCTTGCTATGCAAACTCTCATTGCTTGCCCTCTGAATTTCTACCACCAAAGTCATTTGTATTTGCTACTATACTTCATTATTAGAATGCTAGGACATGAATATAGGAATATTTTCAGACACATGTCAGAATACAGACCCCTCAATAGACAAGATGGCTTTTAGCCCTGTATCCTTTCCTGGAGTGCAAGTAACTGTATTTCCTACAGTAAGACTGTGCACACCTTGGGCCTGTTAGCTCTTTCACCATGTCTTTAATTTCTGGTTGGCACTGTCTAATCTCTTCTGGCTTTGGTCATGGTTACCAGATGTGGTAGCTGAAGGGAAGGACTGCTGTTGTCACTAGACTGCCAGACTGGGGTGGCATATAAATTAGGATTGCATAAAGCTAGTAAAAGCCAGAAAACTCAGGTTTATGAGCTTTTGCTAACAGAAGAAATTATTTTTTAAGACTGTAAGCATAAGATGTCATATTCCACAAAATGTAAGCAGTACTTGGGTAAAGTTAACACTTTCCATATGTAAAAGACTAGGGCGATTTTCTTTCCATGTGTGGTATTGTATCTAGTTGGAATGTGTGGTTAAGCTGTTTTGAACCATTGAATTGAAATGGCATTTTCATTCTAAAGAAGATGTATTAAGGAAAGGAGAATTTTATTTTATATCAAATGCCTACTGTGTGCCAGCTGTTGGGCTCAGTTCTTCATTGTTCCATTGAATTCTTTCAACCACCATTTGATCACAATTTCTTTGTTTTGTGTGTGTGTGTGTGTGTGTGTGTGTGTGTGTGTTAACTTTTTATTCTGAGATCATTCTGAATTTGTATGTGTAAGAAATGTTACAGAGAGACCTCAAGTACTCTCACGCTGTTTCCTCTAATGGTAACACCTTGAACAACTATGTCAAGTATCACAGCTAGGAAATTGTCATTGATACAACTTGCTGTGGTTTGAGTGTGTCCCCCAAAATTTGTGTGTTGGAAACTTATTCCCCAGTACAGCTGCATGGGGAGGTGGGGCCTCTTAAGAGTTGATTAGGACACAAAGGCCTTCACTCATGAGTAGATGAACCTTGTTCCTGTGGGAGTGGGCTTGTTATAAAAACGCATGGAGTCCCCTCTTGCTCACTTTGCTTTGTCACGCCCCTTATGGTGGGATGCTTATTTTGTTGTTTTTTTTTTTTTTGAGACTGAGTATCTCACTATGTAGCCTAGGCTGCCTTTGAACTAGCAATCCTCTTGCCTCAGCCTCCCTAGTGCTGGAATTACAGGTATGTACCACCATGCCTGGCATACCAGTATCTTGATATTAGACTTCCCACCCTTCAGAACCATGAGCCAAGTAAACTTCTATTGTTCATAAATTACCCAGTCTGCAGTATTCATTTATACCAATGCAGAACTAAGAATTTAGTTTTGATTAGAATTCACCAGTTTTCATTTTACATGAGTAGTATCCTTAATTAGATTATAAGTTATGTTACCAAAGAACAGGTAATTGTTTTAAAAACTCCTAAAATCAATAGCAAATTAATGAGATTCCACTGTCTTTTTTTACATAATTTTACATTTTGAGCCTCTGACTTTAACACTGATATTGGCAAATGTCAAATATGTGTGAGTGAGTGAGTGTGAGTGTGTGTGTGTGTGTGTGTGTTTGTAGATAGAAGCATATAGATAGGTTGAGATGCCTCTTGTAAGTAAGAACTGGTTTAAGCAGAAAGTCACATTTTTAAGGGAATAAATGTAAAGTGCTAAGAATATTTAAGAATGCAATTGGGAACCTTTTCCTTCCCAAAGAGTTGTTTAATTTTTGGCTAAATACAGCCCCAGGAATGTTCCAATGTAGTGAAATTTATATGTAACTTTGAAAGTGGTATCTGATGCATTCAGTTGTGAATCGTCACTAATTAGCAGTTTAGGATCATGCTTTAAGAAGACAGTGGATATACTAATAAGCAGAAATAATTCACTATTCTTTGCTAGTTAAATGTCTTGTAAACCTGTCCCTATGACAAACAACAGCACTTATTCAGACCAGAAATAACAACAGTCCTGCGTGTTGTCAGTCCAAGGAGGTCTTGGTGTTTTTGTAGACACCAGACAGAAATAAAAGGAATCTTGTCCTTTTTACCTCATGTAATCCCGCTGGAAAATGAAACATGTGCTGAGTTGATACTGACTTCTGCCAGGTCACCTCCCTAAAGAGTCTCGGGCAAGCACTGTTGCAACATTTCTTGGACAGGAGTGTGACTGCCTGTGATGGAGATGGATGGTCTCTGTTGCACGCTACTGTGGAACACTGCGCTACTGTCTGCCCCTAGGTTCTTATGTGACGAGCGCCTCAAGCAACCTGTATCTGACGTTTTAACTCTTTCTGAGGAATCAGATCAACTTTACATACTCCAGATTTAAGCTAAAGTCTACATGCCTTTTTGTTTTTAAAGGTTGACTTCAGTAATGAAACACTATGTATAATTTATTTTATCTGACTTGGCAGAGCTTTATTTTAGATGTTAGATAATACAAATAGTTTTGAAGCTATATTTGATTAGGAACTGTTTGGAAAACTACAAAACCTTTTTTTATTGGACCACTCTATCAATTTTCTGTTCTTCTAAGGAAGTTTTTCCTATTCATGACTCATTTCACTCTGGCTAACACGGAGGGAAATGTAATAACGATTAAGGAAAGGAATGTATGCGTTTTCTTCGTTTTTTGAAAGCCTATACACATTTTCTGTCTTGGGTTATGTAAACTTGGATGACTGCAGAATGTTGACAACCGTGCAAGGTAAAAACTAGTCTGTTAATACATACTTCTTTGGAATCTGAAAATCAAAACACTTCCTCTGCTGCTTTGGAGAAGTGTTTTGCCTGATGGCCCAGAATACAAACCCAGTAAAAATGACATGTTCCAGCCGTCACTTAACACACACCTTAAGCGAAATTAATGAGATCACTCTGAGATTATGCTTTGTGTTTTATTTTCATTTTATAGGTCTGTATGAGCTGTTGGCTGCTCTGCCAGCCCAGCTGCAACCACATGTGGATAGCCAGGAAGACCTGACCTTCCTCTGGGATATGTTTGGTGAAAAAAGCCTGCATTCACTAGTAAAGGTAAACCATGCTGATGTCAGATTCTCTTTGCAAAAAAACATATGGAAAAATATTTTGAGCACCATCTAGTAAACCGAGATCAAATTGTTACTCTCTGAAAACAAAATACCCTTGTTCCATTTCACTGATGGACGTGGAAGTTGTTAAAGATCCTACCAAAAATACATAGATGATTTCACTTAATGGTGGTGATCTGGCGGTGCATACTAATGCAGCAAGCATGTGGTTGCCCTTGTTTAGAAAAAGAATATGAAATAGTAGCAGGAAGGTTTAGAGTCCTTTATGGTCAACATTCATGAGCTGGAGTCTAACCTAAATAAATCAATGTTCACAGCACAAATTAGAAGGAATATATTTTCTGAGGTCAAAAATGGCAGCAGTTCAGTAGCCACATTAATTTAAAATAATTTCCTTTAACAAAGTCAACTGAAATTCTAGTAAGCTGTTTCTTTTATTGGCCCAACGCCACTGAAATGGTATTTTGTAGATAAATACACTGGAGCTAAATATGAGTAAAAACAGTTTTTGGAGACAGTTTTAGTAAAGCATCATGCCATGAAAATGATCAGCCACCAGCAACCAGATCTTGTCTTACAGAAACACTGGGGGTGATCACAACTCTTAAAATAGTAAAATGAGAACAAGGAACTTACTGGAAAATATGCCACTTTTGCTTCTGGAAATATGAATTACATTTTCTCTCATTTAACTCAAGCTGGAAGAAATTTAGAGTCTGACTGGAGTCTGTAGGAGGCTAAAACCTATGTCTGCATGAAACCTGGACCCATTCTTAATTTAGCTAAATTTGTCATGGTAGGCTGTCATGATAGGAGGCTTTTAATTGATGTATTTGAAAATGAGCCACTTCAGAGTTGCAGTTGCTTTACAGAACAGAATTCTAGTTGTTTCTTATTGTCCAACTTACCCAAATTCGTGTGTTTTGAAGAGTAGCAGTTCTCATGAAGTGAAAGTCAGTATGTGGCATTTCACTGGCAAGACATTTAAAGACTAGAATTCATTTGTTCATTTATTTATTTTTCGTAATAATGTAATGGCCCAAGGTATCATTGTGCTCTAAATAATCTTAACCATTTTGTTGAAATCTTGAGGTTCGTTACAAACAGTCTTGGGATGGAATTGATGAAGTTGATGACTAGATGAGGTAATCATAAAAATACTCTGTGTTGAATAGAAGGAAGTTGAATAGCCGTGGATTTACTTATTGATTTGGTCATTTGATAAAATAAATGAAAGTATTCAAAATGGCATCATTATCCCTTAATCATTAAATATTCTCCCAAATAATGAATGTATGTTGATTTTAAAACAAAAATACGGTTTCCTTACGTGCAAGGAATGTTAGAATGTCTGTTGGCCATGTTGTGAGTTTCAGATAAAATACTGGAGATCTAAGTTCTTTGATAGTTTTATCAGTTAAGCAAATTTAAGTAGGCATTATTAAGTATTGAAGAAAAAACTGATTATCATAGCATGCAAAAGACCAAAACAGAATTACAGAGATGGTTTCCATTTCTATTAAAAGTATACAAAAGTAATGTATAAAACAAATTAGTTACACTGGCTACTGAGTGTTAAGCATAGGCTGCTTTCCAAAGCATAAGTCAGTAACAAGTGGGTAAGAAGCATCCTGCAAGGTATTAATATCTGGTTTCCTAAAAACGGTGAAGCTAGTAAGTTGATGTTGCTAGTATTTAGATAGCACAGTTAACATGCGCTGCTCCAAATAATTTTCAGTAATTACTACAAAATGTATTTCTAATACGAGTTTTATTTTGTACTGCTGGTACTTACCTTATTTCTTAATACTTTTCCCTACCCCTGACTTTGATCAGATACAGACTTAAGTGTGTCCTCTGACTGACCTGTTCTATTAGTTTTAAATACATAAAGTCTAAAATGCCTCCAGGAGGTAAACTCTTGGGATCATAGCTTTAAACAGCTGGAACAAACCACTGAACTGTATTCCAAGTGCCTCTATTTAAGTTGGAGGATAGAATCTTCAGCTTTTGTACATAAATCTTGGGAGAGCACAAAAAGATTTGTTTGAGAGTGAATCAAAATGTGCTTTGGCTTTATACTCTTTTGCCTGAAGTTAAAGATGTTAGTATGTGATTTAGAACTAGTGAACACAAAATTTGATTTTTATCCTAGCACAAAATTTTCAGTCTTGTTTTAAAAAAAAAAGGTGATTGTAAATCACCACATGGTTTTAAATGCATATAACCTTGGGATTTAATGTAAAATTATGTTTAAGGGAAGAGGCAGTTTAGGCATTACAGTCTGTGTAGCAGGTATAGCTTGCCACCCTGGGAGACAGTTTGTCAGTGGAAAAAGATAGGATAATCCTACAAGGTGTCAGCTGAGGATATTTTTAAAAGAAAAAAAATTAAGTAGGAAAGTTGAATAATAAAAACGGTGAGCATGAGATTTCATTTGGTATCAGAAGGAAGATGGTACTGAGAAAAGACCTCGGAAATACCATGTAGAAGAATGGGAATGCATATGGAGGTGGTACAACAAGGATACTTTCCTTCAGTACATCCAATGAGTATGATCAAACCCCAGAGAATGTGCAGCCACATTTTCTTTCTTTTTTTGTTTTTTTTTTGGCGGTACTGGAGCTTGAACTCAGGGCCTTCACCTTGAGCCACTCCTCCAGTCCTTTTTTGGTGAACGGTTTTTTGAGATATGGTCTTGCAGAACTATTTGCCTGGGCTGGCTTTGAACCATGATCCTCCTGATCTCTGCCTCCTGAGTCGCTAGGATTACAGGCGAGAGCCACTGGCGCCTGGCTTGCAGCCATATTTCCTTTTGCGAATACACAGGGATCTAGAAGCATTATTTTATGCCCTAACCTCATTTGTGGATTTATCTTCTATTCTTGTGTCTTTCCTACTGACATCTCTTTACTTACTTTAAATTTTATGCCTTGCACTTGGCAAGGCAGGTGCTCTACTACTTGAGGCATGCTCCCAGCCCTTCTTGCTTTTATGTATGTTTTGAATAGGATCTTCTGTTTAGGCACAGGCTGGTCTGGATCTTGATCCTTCTATTTATGCTTTCCATGCAGCTGGGATCACAGGCGCGTGTACAACCATGCCTAGCTTTTATTGAATCAAATGGGGTTTGCAGAACTATTTGCCTGGGCTGGCCTCAAACCACAATCTTCCTGATCTCTGCCTCCTGAGTAGCTAGGAATTCAGATGTGTTCCACCATGCCTGATCTAAATATTAGATTTCTTTCAATTAGGTTGTAGTTGTGTTTCCTCAAGAAATTTCTGTTCTTAACTCACAGTTGTATTGTATTTCTAGGATGAGAACATCAAATTGTTACCACCTTTTCAATGGTTGCTTATGTTTTTCTCTACCCTTTTAAGAATGTGGGGCTGAAGGAAAAAAAAAGTATCTGAATTTTATCCTTTTATAGATTTTAAAGTATTTTAGCAAGCACAAATTAATATTTTAAAAGAAAAATTTCCTCACATGATTGAATTACTATATTTCTGCAGTTTAGTCTTTACAAAATAATGAATATTCAACTATACCTCTCTGTCATTGAGTTACATGGTTTTAGCTTTACTCATACTGTATTTGTTGAGTACTTGTTTTATGCTAGTCACTGTGTGGCCATCAGGGCTAGACTGCCCAACATGGAAAGCATAGTCCCTTTCCTTGTTGAGTCTCCAATCTCCTGGAAGGCTTATAAATGAGGGATAAACAGTTACAACATACTGTGGTAGAGCCTGTGGAGAGCTTTTCGGAAGTGTAAGGTGTGTAACACAACACTGACTTCAGAGAGGGGCTCCTGGAGATGTGGTATCTTTAGTTAGTTGAATTTGGTAGGAGTTGCTCAGGCAAACATTTATGGGAATAGTGGGAAGTTAGTTAGAAGGAGTAACACATCCATGCCTGGAAGTAAGAGTAGGCAATATACCTTTAGAATGGGGCTCTTTTGGCTGGTGTTAAGGAAGAGTGTAAACAGCAAAGTGTGGCAAGAAAGACATGCAGAAATCCATTCATGCAAAACTAAGATGGTAGGAGCCATTGCACTGAAAAGCTTAAAGCAGGGAGTGAAGACAACAGATTTTTCTTTTAGAAGTGAATTGGTATAACTGTAGAAACTGGATGTAGTATGAGATTTCCAGGTCAAAAATGATGGTGCAAAGTGTTGAGAGAGAGGATCAGATTTTCATACTAGCATATGTGCTGTTTCTTAGCACTGAAACACTTCCTGCCATGTGATCCAACCACAATGCTAGGCCACTGGGTGTTGGAAAAGGACTCCAGATGTCCCCAGGAGATCTCTAGCAGCTCTGAAGTACCGTGCCAGTTCTTAGATATTTTGACCAATTCCTTAGAGGAATTGAGAGGTGATTTTAGATATGTTTATGTTTGATATTTTGAGCATAATCAAATAGAGCAACCTATCATTGAATTCATGCATCTAGAGCTGAGAATAATTATATTCTAGGTTGGGGGTGATTGACATGGGAGTAGGGTTTCCAGATAAAATAAGGACATCATGTATTTTAAGTTGACATTTCAGATACATGGTAAATAAGATTTTAGTGTAAATATGAACTTTGTAGGGGTACCTAGCAACTCTATTTGAGAGCAATCAAGATTTAGATGGTAACATTTTTTGGTAACATTTATTGAGACAAAATTCACATACTGTACAATTCATTCATTTAAAATATTCACAAGGTTTTGTGAATATTATCACTGTAGTCAATTATGGGACATTTTTAGCACCTCAGAAAAGAAATCCTGTACCTCTAGGAGTCATCCCCCAATCACTGCATCCTCTCTGCCATCCTAGTCTTAAGCAACCATTAATGTACTTGCTGTGCCTGTGTGTTTTCCTACTCTGGACATTCCATGTAAATGAAATCATAATTTTTTTTTTGGTTGTTGTCTTTTGTTACTTGGTTTGATATCATCAAAGGTTTATCAACATTTAGCATATATCTGTACTT